AGGGCAATGGTGAGCTCAGTGGGGCAGCGAGCTAGGAAGTGGTCCCTGACAGCACACAGAGTGTCACGAAGGCGGGTAACGAGGTGGTAGAGAGTGAGCCAGAGCGAGGGGTGGTTGGTGGCAAGAAACTCATCGGGCATGGCGGCACGAAAGCGGGCCTCACTAGTACGGAGGTGCGTGATGAGGTCAGCGACTGTGTGGAACAAGGCCAGGTCGTGAAACAAGTAGGGGAGTGAGAGACGGCCTAGCGCAGCAGAGGCAGGTGAGGAGTAGCGGGCAACGTCAGCGGTGTACACTGCCTGTGCAGTCTTGTGCTGTCCAAAGTGCTCGCGCTCGCCTATCGGCAGAGAGTTGCGAATAGCAAAGCGGGCGTGGGCGTCACGAGTCTGCCACTATGAGTGGGCAGTGCTGTCAGCAGTAGTAGGAGGAGCAGTAGCATGGCCTAGGGCGTAATCGTACAGTGAGATGTCCTCCTTGGCAGTGAGCTGTAGGAAGAGGTGTAGGTCATCTAGCCAGGTATCAAACTTCACTGGGCGGCCCTCAGCATCGAAAGCTAGCACAGGAGGGCTAGCCATAGCAGCAGTAGTAGCAGTAGTAGTACCCTTTAAAACAGTAGGCAGCGAGTTAGATAGGGCGGCTCGGTCCAGGACAGGCGGCGCGGCTCGGTTCAGGTAGGGCGGCTCGGCTCGGTTCAGGTGGCGCGGTTAGGTTCGGGCTGGGCGGCTCGGCTCGGGCGGCTCGGTTCGGGTCGGGCGGCTCGGTTCGGGCTGGGCTGTTCGTTCTGGCGGGGCTAATGGCGTCGCGACGGGGTGCTAAGGGGCGGGCGCACGGGTCGACGGGGCCAGCTATGGGCCGCTAAGGGGCGGCGTTTGGGGTCGACGGGGCCAGCGGGGCCACTAAGGGGCGGGCGCACGGGTCGACGGGGCCAGCGGGGCCGCTAAGCGGTGGGCGCACGGGTCGACGGGGCCAGCGGGGCCGCTAAGGGGCGGGCGCACGTGGTTGACGGGGCCAGTTGGGGCCGCTAAGGGGCGGGCGCACGGGGTCGACGGGGTCAGCGGGGCCGCTAAGGGGGCGGGCGCACGTGTGTACGGGGCCAGCGGGGCCGTTAAGGGGCGGGTGCACGGGTCGACGCGGCCAGCGGGGCCGCTAAGGGGGGCGGGCGCACGGGAGTACGGGGCCAGCGGGGCCGCTAAGGGGCTGGCGCACGGGTCAACGGGGCCAGCGGGGCCGCTATGGGGCGGCGCGTGAGGTCGACGGGGCCCGCTAAGGGACGGCACGAGGGGCCGACGGGGCCTCTAAGCGAGGTTGACGGGGCCGACGGGGCCTCTAAATGGCGGCGCACGAGGGCGCACTGAGAGCAAGGCGCACGAGGGCGCTAGAGAGGATGGCGCACGAGGGCGCTCTGAGCGGAAACGGTGGGCCCTTAGGAACGGTCCTAGGTTCCTAGCCTAGACTCGTAATACCATACCAGAATGAGAGAGAAGTGATTGCACTATGAGAGTTGGAGTACAAATAGCAAACCCTAACTTTGTGTACCCCCTAAAGGCTAACCCACTATAGCCTACACAATAACAACACATATAATGTTTGACAGCTGACAGCAGTACCGCCCGAACTACAGGAACTGTTGAAAAGATTCCCTGGGATTTTTCCCGATGACTTACTGGAAGGACTGCCACCTCAGCGAGCACATGACCACCGCATAGAATTAGAACCGAGGGCACGGCCAACTGTGCAGCGACAGTTCAGACTAACACAGCCCGAGCTCGACGAACTGAGGAAGCAGTTAGATTACTTGTTAGAGAAGAAATAGATCCAACCGAGCTCGTCACCGTTCGCCGCACCGATACTGTTCATGCCAAAGAAAGATGGAGGGTTTCGCATGTGCATCAACTACCGAGCGTTCAACAGGGTAACTGTCAAGTCACGGTACCCCATTCCCCGCGCCGACGAACTGATCGTCCAACTGCGAACAGCACGAGTTTTTTCGAAATAGATTTACGGGGAGGTTATCATCAGATTAGGGTCGAACCATCGGACTGCGCCAAGACAGCTTTCTGGACTAGGTACGAATCATTCGGACAGCTTTCAGGACATGCTAGGATTCTTGGGGCACGTTATTTTGGAGGCCGGGGTCGAAATTGACCCGAAGAAGTTAGACACGGTCAAAGTCTGGCACCTCCCGACAAATATCACGGAACTACAGAGCTTTTTAGGTTTCGTCAATTACGTGCGTCGGTTCGTTCCCGACATGGCACGGGTAACTGCATCGCTGACGGACTTGTTACGGAAGGGGGTCACTTTTACGTGGGGGGAGAAAGAGCATGCTGCCTTCTCTGCCCTGAAAAATGTTTTCTGTTCCCCGCCCGTACTGCGCATCGCCGACCCACACCGCCCATCCGAAGTAGTTACCGATGTAAGCGACATCGCCATCGGAGCCGTACTGCTACAAGACTTCGGCAACGGCCTACAGCCCATCGCATACGAGTCATGAAGACTGCATCCGCCCGAGAAAAATTTCCTGATATACGACCGCGAAATGCTTGCGATCGTGCATGCGTTCAAAGTGTGGCGCTGTTACTTGACCGGCGCAGACGTGACAGTACGGACAGACCATAAATCACTACAGTACCTCCGCGCACAGCCACACCTCAACCCACGATAGTTTTGCTGGCTCGAATTTCTTGATTCCAACTTTCACTACACAGTTACCTACAGAAAGGGAGCCTCGAACATCGCCGACGCACTGACCCGCCCCACTGCCCATATCCATGCAATATTACTCGCCCAGACAAGCCCACTACTGACATGCCTATTCACCCACGGGTACCAAACGGATCCATTCTTCACAGGAGGAAATTCGCAGCAGTTCGCAACAGCAAAAGGAGTCTATTACGTAAAAGTCGGGACCGACCGCTTGTGGGTACCAGGGTACACACTGCTATGGGAATTACTGTTACAGGAGGCATATGACGGAGTTACCTCAGGGCATTTCGGGGTAGAGAAAACACGGCAGCAGCTGCAACGGTATTATTACTGGCCCGAAATGTTGACCGACGTACAACGACACGTGGCATTGTGTCCCACTTGCCAGCTCATGAAATCATCACGGCAGCGGCCGGCAGGACAGTTGCAACCGATACCACCCCAAGAGCATGCTTGGCAGCAGGTGACGATGGACTTCGTCACGGGGTTACCGACCGGGGCGAGTGGGAACGACGCGATCCGGTCATCGTCGATCGACTGACGAAAATGGCACACTTCGCAGCCTGCAAAAAATCGATCACAGACAAAGAAACAGCTCAACTCTTCATCTCCACCGTCGTTCGACTGCACGGGATACCATCAGCGATCATCAGCGACCGCGACACGAAATTCACCAGCAACTTCTGGCGGAACCTGTGGCAGTAGTTCGGCACGCGACTACAGTTCAGTTCTTCGTACCTCCCCGAAACCGACGGACCGACAGAACGGACAAACCAAACTATGGAGCAACTCATCCGAGTCACGTGCGACGACCCATCCACCTGGAAACAACAGCTGCCACTCATTGAATTCGCATACAACAACTCACCGTCCGCCACGACTCAACAGTCATCATTTTACTTGAACTACGGACAAGACCCGACAGTACCCATGACCCCGAATCCCGACAACCCAGTGCCACGAGCACAAAAGTTCGCCGAAATATTACAATCAGCACGGACCCGGGCAGCAGACGCAATAAGAAAATCCAACATCATAGCTAAACGTAATGCAGACCGCCACCACCGACCTGTCACTTACCAACCTGACGACCTGGTTTTACTCGACACTCAGAACCTCCGACTGCCCATCACCCCAAAACTCCGCCCCCGATACTGCGGGCCATTTCACATAAACCGCATGATTACGCCCGTCACCGCCCACCTCCTCCTCCCCGCTGACTGGTACGTCAGCCCCTCATTCCACGTCAGCCTGCTTCGCCCTTACGTCCCGTCCACGAGCCAACTGCCACGTAATCGCCCAGCCAGCATGACACGACCGCCGACTGAACCAATCCTCACCCCCGAGAAAATTCTGAGCCACAGAGTTTGTGACCCTCGAGGAGCCCGAAGGATCGAGTTCCTGATCCGCTGGAAAGACCGTACACCCACCGAAGACAACTGGGTTCCCCTGGACAGAATCGAAAACCGCCCCGTCCTCACCGAGTATCTGCGCAGCCGAAACTTCAGGGATGTACACGGGCTTTCGTAAGGAGGACCTTCTTAGGGGGGGGGGGGGGTAGTGTAAGGAAAAATCATTTTCCTTACTTCGCGTCCGTGCTCAGCGCGTACACCACTGTAGCACCACAGTTAGCACCGTTACCACTTGCAACCCTCGCATCGATAATCCTCCCGCCACCTTCGTACATCGCACCCCGACCTCACGGCTCGGCGGGTAACCCTGCGAAGAGTCTAGCGAGGCTTAGGAGCCATGGCTAGTGAGATCGAGGAAGTTAAGTTCGAGTTGAAGGAAAAGTGTCGAGTGAAAAGAGAGTTTCACTATAGAAAGTTGTACAAGATATAGTGAAGGAAAAGGGTGCACCACCTAACATGAAAGCAATATAACTACACTAAGTCTACACTACAAGCAGTTATAGTAATGTATACAATTACATTATGACAAACCCGCGCTCCGGGCCTCCGCTTCGACATTTTCCCCAACCTCAATCCCAGTCCCGTCGCGCGACAACCACAGTCCATTACCGTTACCACTGTAGTTTCGCTATATATTCTTCGCTCATGCCTTCGCTCATTGTACTCTTGCTTCGATAGTGCAATCCTCGTCCGCTCACTCAATTGAACTCGTAACAATACTCATGTAGTGTGGTGAACAAGAGGTCCAATACGTATGTCTATTTCTTTAACATGAAAAATACACTATTTGATGAATTTCAAATGTGAATGTCACTTGAATGTCTTTCGCGGTTCTGTGCATCAGGATTTTGTCGCCCTCCCAAACACATCGTAAACATCACGTCACTCTTTCTGGTTGCGCCTAGATGTTTTCCGCTTGGACGAGCTGAGCTCTTTCTTGCGAAGGCGGATGGCAGCAGGAGTCACCTCCACCAGCTCGCCTGTTTGCACATACCCCATGGCCTCCTCCAGACTCATCTGTGGGGTATAGAGTGGTACAGAGGGGTACAGATGTGTGTACATGAGTGCAAGGGTGAATGGCAGCAGGAGTCACCTCCACCAGCTCACCCTTCTGCACATTCCCCATGGCCTCCTCTAAACTCATCTGTGGTTTGCAGAGGGGTGCAAAGGCGTGTAGAGAGGTGGTACATGGGGTAGTTCCATGAATGCACATGGGCGGATGGCAGCAGGAGTCACCCCCATCGCCTCTCCCAGACTCATCTATGGCTTGCAGTGGAGTACAGGGGTGTGAAGAGGTGTGTGGAACAGTACATATGGATAAACAATTGTATGAGATGAGAGTGCTGACCTGTCTTGGAGGCGTGAGGCGAATGTTTTCATCCTTGGAAGCCGCTCTTATGTTGGTGAGCTCCTTAGTGCGTACAGGGTTCACCTGCAACAAAACAGAGGGACCAACAAACAAACACCTATATGATGGGAGTATTCACTATTTTATTGGGACTTTCGTGCGCAGGGTGCGTTTTTGAGACGCATCATACAACAATCGTATCACACGTGGTTATCCTTTGTGCACACAGGGTTAGAAACATTGGCAGCGAACCAGCCGATTGCACTAACCCTGTGGCATCTGTAGCCACTCTTTGTAAGGAAAAGCCAGTCAACCCCCTACACGCTACCTCACTAAGAGTCCCTAAAGACGCCTTTCTCCAAAGGTGCATCGGACCCTAAAAAAGCATCGATCACCACCCTAAACCTCCAAGCAACCGCTCCCCACCCACCCACACCCCCTCCTCCCCCTCACTTCCTGTCGTCATCCTGGCATTCTCTCCGTGATTGAGTCGCCTAAAATAACCTCAATCACAACACTACTACTCTCAATCCACTTCACAACACCCACACCCCCTCCTCCCCCTCACTTCCTGTCCGCATCCTGGCATTTCTCCATGATTGAGTCGCCAAAGACAACCTCAAGCACAGCATTAAACTCCCAATCCACCTCATCCCACCCACACCCCCTCCTCCCTCTCACCTCCATGTCATCGTCCCTGGCGTTCTCTCCTATGATATGACCGTCGTATGTCTGGTGAAGGGAGTGGAGGATTATGAAGAGGAAGGAGTGGTGAGACAAGAGGAAGAAAAGAAAGAGAAAGGCCGAAGGGGGAGTGGAGAAGTGGTTAGTTACAAACCACCTTCTCGGGAGGGTCACAAGGGCAGAGGGCACAAGCTCGAGGAACTTACCATCTGCGCCCCCGTTCGCCCTTCTTCTCAAAAGTCATGTGCGACTCTTGAGAAGTCTCATAAGATATCTGCCCCACCCCAACTCCATGAACACAGGGCTCAAATCGAGCAAGACAAGCTCAGAGATTGCACTCTATCTACCACACTATACCGCACTGCATCCCACCATACCTCGTCTCCAGGGCTGACAAAGAGCGTGCCCCGAGCTTCAAGAGACGATAGAGCATGGGCTGTGATGGTCCCTGCAATCATTTGGACCAATATGGGATCAGCAGAAAGCAGTAATATGTCATAAAAACTATACACAGAAGAAGTGTGACTTATTTGAAACAATGTATCGGAACAAATTGGTGGATAGGGAAGTCCGAACAACAGCAAATACCAGATTTTATGACACCAGCAACATCGTTAATGGTGGGGACAGCAGTAGCAGGTGCGACAGTGACAAAATACTCTTTTTAGACGTCTCAAAATGCGACAGTGACAAAATACTCTTTTTAGACGTCTCAAAATGCGACAGTGACAAAATACTCTTTTTAGACGTCTCAAAATGCGACAGTGACAAAATGCTCTTTTTAGACGTCTCAAAATGCGACAGTGACAAAATACTCTTTTTAGACGTCTCAAAATGCGACAGTGACAAAATACTCTTTTTAGACGTCTCAAAATGCGACAGTGACAAAATACTCTTTTTAGTGGCAGTAGCGGCAGTGACATTGAGAGAAGCTGCTGTGACTGTGATTATGCATTTATCAATGCTATCGGCCGTGTGAATGTACCTGTGGCCATCGATACAATCACACCCTTGCGCCCTCGCTCCAGCTGACCCCTCCACGGCTCGTATCCTGTCCAGAGAATGTGGGGGTTGGCGGGCAGGTGGTTGGGAGGGAAGGCAGGAGAAGGAAGGCAAGGTGATGTTTGGTTGGATGCACGCCTCCGCTCCAGCTGACTTTTGAGGTTGCGTGGTGTGAATCCAACTTTTGAGGAGTATGCTGAGTATGCACACGCCACCTCAAAAGTTGGATGCACGCCTCCGCTCCAGCTGACCCCCCCACGGCTCGTAACCTGTCCGGAGAAAGAAGAGGGAAGAGAGGACAAAGGCGTTTAAAATGGTGGGTGTCAATGGGAGAAAACAACTTAAAAGCGCCTCAATAATTATCTCCTTTTGAGGTGTGACGAGCGGTGCAGAGGTGTGGGAGGTATGGGCAGTGCAGAGATAACGGGTGGCCTGGAATGGTGTGGCATGGTTGTGGCACTCACGCAGGAGTAACCGGTGCAGCACGGCTGTGCCTCTGGTAGCCATGTTGAGGTGCGATGTGCGGTGGAGAGGTGTGATGAGGAGTGGAAGATGCGAGGGAATGAGAGTGTGTGAGGAGTGGCAGAGCACTCACGCAGGAACGACCGGTGCAACACAGCTGTGCCTCTGGTAGCCGTGTTGAGCACTCCTCTCACTCCCAGTAGCCCCCTGCACACATGCGTGCACGGGTGAAAGAAGCTCACAGCAAGGGATTAGGATTGAACGGTTTTGGGTTGAGGAGTTTAGGGTTGAAGAGTTTATGGTTCAGCAGGAACAATCGGCGTGTAATGAGTCGTGTTTTGAGTCGACTCAAAACACGACTCATTACACGCAGGGTTGAGGAGTTTATGTTTCAGCAGGAACAATCGCTGACAAGTTAACCGGATCAGATAGCTATGTGTTCGATGAAGTGTTTTAGACGTCTCAAAATAAACACTTCTTCAAACATGTGGTTCAGCAGGAACAATCACTGACAAGTAAACCGGATCAAAGATAAATTTAACTGTCTCACCTGGAAGGGCAGGTGAAGTGAAGACGTGTACGCGAGAGAGACGAGGATGCTGAGCTGGCGGAGGAGGGAGATGACGTGGATGGTGAGGGTGATGACGTGGCAGATGCTACTGAGTCAGCAACAGATGAGCTGGAATCAGAGGAGGAGGAGGATTCTGTGATCATGTCCAGGAGCTCTCCTTTTCTGAGAGAAATGGCGTCGATGACTGCCCCTGCAAACTCCTCGTCCACCTGTGTGGGGGCATAGGTGCAGACGAACCACACAACACCACACAACACCACATAGCACACCACAAGAGGAGGAGGAGGAGGAGGAGGATTCTGTGATCATGTCCAGGAGCTCTCCTTTTCTGAGAGAGATCACGTCGATGACCGCCCCTGAAGACTCCTCGTCCACCTGTATGGGGGGCAAAGTCAGATACACAGGCGGTCACAGAAAGAGAGAATGAGCACAGGTGAGCACAGGCAGGCACAGAAAGAGAGAATGAGCACAGGTGAGCACAGGCAGGCACAGAAAGAGAGAATGAGCACAGGTGAGCACAGGCAGGCACAGAAAGAGAGAATGAGCACAGGTGAGCACAGGCAGGCACAGAAAGAGAGAATGAGCACAGGCGAGCACAGGCAGGCACAGGGGCACACACACAGATAGAGAGAGATGCTGTCGATGACCACCCCAGCATACTCCTCGTCGACCTGCGCGGGGGCACGCACCCCTCATCACCCATCAGCACCACTCACCTCCACCATGAGCTCTTCAATTGACTCCAGCTTCTTCCCACCCTCCTCACCCCTCATCAACCCTCATCACCCATCATCACCACCCACCTCCACCATGAGCTCTTCAATCGGCTCCAGTGTAATGAGGTTATTTTTGAGACGTCTCACCTGTTTACATGAGACCTCCGCAGCCCACCTGTTTACATGAGACCTCCGCAGCCCACCTGTTTACATGAGACCTCCGCAGCCCACCTGTTTACATGAGACCTCCGCAGCCCACCTGTTTACATAAGACCTCCGCAGCCCACCTGTTTACATAAGACATCCGCAGCCCACCTGTTTACATGAGACCTCCGCAGCCCACCTGTTTACATGAGACCTCCGCAGCCCACCTGTTTACATGAGACCTCCGCAGCCCACCTGTTTACATGAGACCTCCGCAGCCCACCTGTTTACATAAGACCTCCGCAGCCCACCTGTTTACATAAGACATCCGCAGCCCACCTGTTTACATGAGACCTCCGCAGCCCACCTGTTTACATAAGACCTCCGCAGCCCACCTGTTTACATAAGACCTCCGCAGCCCACCTGTTTACATAAGACCTCCGCAGCCCACCTGTTTACATAAGACCTCCGCAGCCCACCTGTTTACTACTCACAGCACCACCAACCTCCACCATGAGCTCTTCAATCGGCTCCAGCTTCTTCCCACCCTCCTCACCCCTCCTCACCCCTCATCAACCCCCATCACCCATCATCACCACTCACCTCCACCATGAGCTCTTCAATAGGCTCCAGCTTCTTCCCCTTCTCTTCTCGGTACCTGCAAAGAAAAAGGTTGTTTGGACGGGAGGTTTGGAGAGGCGGGCAGGGATGGGAGAGATTGAGCAAGCATGGGAGTGAGGAGCAAGCGTATCACTCTTGATTTTTTTCAGAAGCAAATCCAATATGGAGAAGGAGGGCGGGTAGGGGATGGGAGAGATTGCGCAGTGCCCCAGGGGAAGGGGAAGAAGGAGGACAGGACGGTAAGAGGGAAAGTGACCATTCTGTTTTTTCTCAGCGGAGAAAGAAAAAGAAGAAGAGAGAAAAAAAAGCAATGGAACGGACTGCTAGCTCCAAGAAGAGAAGTAACTGGTGAGTATGAGAATTCTCAATACTTACCTGCTACTGGCTGGAGTGGAGATGGCACCAAGTCCAGAACGAATGACATATCTCCACTCCAGCTACTCACAGCAAACCCCTCTTTTGCACGACAGCATGGCCCACTCACAGCACGGATGGCGGTGATATGGAGAGCTCAAACCCCTCCCTGCGCATACTCTCTATAAGCACACCTGAAAGAGACGTGCAGAGCGCAGTGGGGAAAGATCAAGGAAGGGGATAGGAGGTTAACGAATGAGGGACAGAGGCCTGCTTGCATTGCAGGCAGGCAAGATTGGTTGCAGGGAAGTGAGTGAGCAGCTGCCTTCAAAAGGAGACTGAATTGTATTATGAGGCGCCTCAAAATACAAGATCGGTTGCAGGGAAGTGAGTGAGCAGCTGCCTTCAAAAGGAGACTCAATTGTTGCATGTCTCCTCAGCTGCAAACCTCCGTGTCAAGATACCGGCCTCAACCGCCACTCACCCAGTTGCATCTCAGCCATTGCCAGCACCTAGAATGCATCCGCAGAGGGACATTTATTCAGAACCCAAAGACATGTAAACCCAATCCCTTCAATCCCCCGCCACTCACCCAGCTGCATCTCGCCCCTGGCCAGCACCTTGAACGCATCCGCAGAGGGACCCGCCTCCAGGCCCAAGGACACGTTGGTCGCTACTTCTGCCTTGAGCCGTGCGCCAATCTTTGGGCCTGTCATCTGGTGTGAATGGGTGTGGCGTGGGGGGTGAGGGAACGAGGGAGTGGGAAAAGAGTGGGAGAAGAGTGGGAGAAGATTGGGAGAAGATTGGGAGAGAAACGGGTTGAGAGGTTGGGAGCAGAGCAGGGCCAACAAGAATTCCCTATTCCGCCCCCCCAGCCCCCCCAAGGATACATTCGTCGCCACCTCTTCCCTGAGCCGTGCGTGCACCGATATTCAGCCCGGTCATCTGGTGTGTGGGCAGGGGAGTTGACTTTTGAGTAGACTCAAAAGTCAACTCAAAAGTCGACTCAAAAGTCAACACCCCAGCCCCCCCAAGGATACGTTCCTCGCCACCTCTTCCCTGAGCCGTGCGTGCGCGCGCCGATATTCAGCCCGGTCATCTGGTGTGTGGACAGGGGAGTCAGTGGGTGGTGCGGATGGTAGGATGATCAGGTCAGATCTCACCTGAGACGTCACCTGAGATGTCACCTGAGATGTCACCTGACACCTCACCTGGGTGGCATGTCAACCCGCTACAGATGAGTCGTTGCCACTGAAGGTCATGGCAATGGTGGGAGAGACCTCACCTAAGAATACACCTGGGCACCTGAGAGCTCACCTGGGTGCCGTGTCTCCCGGCCAAAGGAGAGTCGTTGACGCTGAAGGTCATGGCGATGGTGGGAGGGTCGATAGCAGCAACTGGGAGCGGTTTGGATACCTGGCAGGGCAGGAGGGAGTGATAGGGGGGGAAGGCGGAATGACGAGGTGAAGGGAACCAGAGAAAATGAGGGGAGAGGGGAACACAAGCGTGTGGGGATGATGTTGTCACGGTGGAATTATGGGATGGGAGACGAAGGCATGGCACCAAGGGAAAACGCATCGCGAAGCTAAAGCCAATGAAAGGAGCCCCAAAAGGCATACCGAGAGGTCAGTTCTTTGAGGCGCCTCAACAATCACTCACCCCAAGGGAAAAGGCATGGCGAAGCTAAGGCCAGTGCAAGGAGCCTCAAAAGGCATGGCGAAGCTAAGGCCAGTGCAAGGAGCCTCAAAAGGCATACCAAGAGCACTTCGAGAGTGTGTGAGACGTGTGCGTGTGTCATCCCTGCCACTGCCACTATGTCAACCGCTGCTGCTGCGCCCATGACTAAGGATCTACTGACTCACACGCACCAACCGGGGGAGTGGCAGGGCGTACGCACCGAGAGGTCTGCAAGAGTGTGTGAGACGTGTGCGTGGGTCATCCCCGCCACTGCCACAATGTCTCCTGCTGTTCCCCCTGTGGCATTGCCACTGTGCCACACTCGTTCCGAGAGGTCTGCAAGAATGTCCCACTCCCATACGCACCGAGAGATCTGCGAGAGTCTGTGAGACGTGTGCGTGGGTCATCCCCGCCACTGCCACAATGTCTCCTGCTGCCGCCTCACTCATATCCTCCGACTTCACTCCCCTCCGCTTCACCAGCTTCACCACCTGTTACGGGTAGGGGTGAAACGGAAGGGGGAAGAGGGGTCAGCATAGCAATAAATCGGCTTGTTGGGATGTTGAATAGATTGCTACTTTCGCTGCCACCTCGTTCATATCTTCCGACTCCACTCCCCTCCGCTTCACCAGCTTCACTAACTGATACGAAGAGGAGGTGGGGTCGGGTTGGGAAGGAGGGGAAAAGCGGGGATGCACGGGCATAGCAATGAGAGAACGAGAGAGAGAAAAAAATTACTCTTGAATAACAACCTTGAACTAACAACCAAGACGAGAACAGTGCCGACAAGCAAGAGATGAACACGAAGTGAAGTGAACCAGAAGTAATTGGTAACTCAACCAACCTCTGCCTCCCCTTCACTGTCCCGCATCAGCGCCCGCAGCCTGTCGCCCACGCGCACCGAACCCCATGCATGCTCAATGTGCATCGCATGAGCACACAGCACATTCTCACCACACACTCACCTTGCTCTCTTCCAGGGAAACCGCCTCCCCTTCACTGTCCCGCATCAGTGCCCGCACCCTGTCACCCACGCGCACCGAGCCCGACGCTATCCGACCAATCAGCAGGCGGCCAAGAAATGGGTCCCTGTCAATGAGTGACACCTGGCACACGAGCATGGACAGGACAAGAAGACAGGGCAGGGCATGAGGACACGGGAGAGGAAAGACCAGGCTTTTGAGGACACGGGAGAGGAAAGACCAGGCTTTTGAGGACACGGGAGAGGAAAGACCAGGCTTTTGAGGACACGGGAGAGGAAAGACCAGGCTTTTGAGGACACGGGAGAGGAAAGACCAGGCTTTTGAGGACACGGGAGAGGAAAGACCAGGCTTTTGAGTCGCACCCTCGCATCGCTCCAGTCCCTGTCAAGTCAATCAGCATGCGGCCAATAAACCGGTCCCTGTCAAGTCAATCGGTGACACCTGGCACCCGAGCGCGCGGACAGGACAAGAAGACACAGAAGACGACGAAGATGATGAGACAGGGGAGAGACAGCCTGTAACGGCTGCTTTTATGGACACCTCAAGCTAGAAACGAATCTCTCTCTGTCGCTCAGACACACCTGGCTGGCACACGAGCATGGATGGTCGTCTAAAAATTGGGCGGGGCCGTGGCACAGAGAGAGTTGCGAGATAGGGGATGCTCAGCTCAGCCTCCCTACCAGCATCTGGAAGGGCGCGGTTTGATCCACCACCGGGGGTGGGACATGATCAAGGACAGCCTCGAGAATCGGCACCACGCCACTCTCCCCCTTTCCTGCTGCTGCCAATGCTGCTGGTGGTTAAGAGGTGAGCATACCGGCATGCGGTGACTAAGAACGAAAAGCCTACCAGCATCTGGAAGGGCGCTGTTGGGTCCACCACAGGGGGCGGCACGCGGTCCAGAATCGCCTCAAGAATCGGCACCACACCACTCTCCCCCTTCGCTGCTGCTGCTTCTGATGCCGCTGCAGCCCCTTCTGCCGTGAGCTGGGGCGGCGGCCAAGAGGAGCTGGCCCAGCCATGCCTGGCCGACGCGTAGAGCACCGGGAAGTCCAGCTGCTCCTCTGAAGAGTTATAATGGGGGGGGGATTGGGAGGAATCATTTGTTAGGTGGGAGGGCTGGAGCATGGAGAACAGGGGGGTGGCGGCCAAGAAGAGCTGGCCCAGCCGTGCCTGGCTGACGCGTAGAGCACCGGGAAGTCCAGCTGCTCCTCTGATGGGTGAATGGGGGGGAGAGGTGAGTGGGGAGGGGAGGGGAGGGGAGGGGGGCCGGGGGAGGGGAGAGCAAGAGGAGCTGGCCCAGCCATGCCTGGCGGACACGTAGAGCACCGGGAAGTCCAGCTGCTCCTTTGACGAGTGAATGGGGAGGGGAGGGTGTGAGGGAGTGGGGAAAGAAGCGTATGTCAGGTGGGAGGGAGCCGGCGAGCGCACAAGAGGAGCTGGCCCAGCCGTGTCTGGCGGACGCGTAGAGCACCGGGAAGTCCAGCTGCTCCTCTGATGGGTGAGAGGGGGCGGGGAGGAGGGATGCGGGAAGGGAATGAGTGACATGCTAGGTGGACGGGTTGCAGCATGGAGCACAGGGAGGGGGGCGGCGGCAATGAGCAGCTGGCCCAGCCCAGCCGTGGCTGGGATGAGTCGATTTTTGAGTCGAATAAAAAACCGACTCATCACACGCGGGCAAGGAGCAGCTGTCCCAGCCGTGGCTGGGATGAGTCGATTTTTGAGTCGAATCAAAAACCGACTCATCACACGCGGGCAAGGAGCAGCTGGCCCAGCCGTGCCTGGGAGGGGCGTAGAGCACAGGAAAGTCCAGCTGCTCCTCTGATGGGTCGATGAGGGGAGGAGATGGAGCAGAGATGAGGCATCAAATATAAGGATCTGGCCCATCCATAAGTCTATGAGGGAGGAGATGGGGTAGCGAATGACATGGTAGTAGCCTAGTAGGTGAAAGGGAGAGAGCATCGAGAACAGAGGAGCTGAGCTGGCCCAGCTGTGTCTGGCCTGGCTGAGGCGTACAGAACTAGGAAGTCCAGCTGCTCCTCTGATAAAATATACATGGGGGAATTGTGGGGGAGGGGATCATATGTTAGGTGAGAGGGATGGAGCATGGAGCACCGAGAGGAGGGGGCCAGGAGGAGCTGGCCCAACTGTGTCTGGCCTGGCTGAGGCGTACAGAACTAGGAAGTCCAGCTGCTCCTCTGATAAAATATACGTGGGGGAATTGTGGGGGAGGGGATCATATGTTAGGTGAGAGGGATGGAGCATGGAGCACCGAGAGGAGGGGGCCAGGAGGAGCTGGCCCAACTGTGTCTGGCTTGGCTGAGGCGTACAGAACTAGGAAGTCCAGCTGACTTTTGAGTCGACTCAAAAGTCGACTAGGAGACATTGTGTCCAGCTGCTCTTCTGACAGGAGTTTCGAGGAACGAAAGAATGGAGAGGGGTGGGAGCGGGTGCGTGTGGGCGTATACACCACACCACAACAAACTACCTTGGCATCTGCACAAACAAACAGCTTTGAGACGTTTCAAAACCATCTTTGAGACGTTTCAAAACCATCTTTGAGACGTTTCAAAACCATCTTTGAGACGTTTCAAAACCATCTTTGAGACGTTTCAAAACCATCTTTGAGACGTCTCAAAACTGTAAACATCACACCACAGCATACTACCTTGGCATCTGCACAAACAAACAGCTGCCATATGGAAATCACTGTTGAGAATTCTCAAAAGCGATCTCCATACAACATACTACCTTGCCATCTGCACAAAGAACGACTTTTGAGGCGCCTCAAAAGACATACTACCTTGGCATCTGCACAAAGAACGACTTTTGAGGCGCCTCAAAAGACATACTACCTTGGCATCTGCACAAAGAAACAGCTGCCGCGTGTCATAAGCACCAATAGGCCCCTGATCTGATCACCTGAGCTGAGCTGAGACATAGTGCCGGTAACCACCTGACACGTGGTGGTAACCATGTGATGTGTAACGTCGTGGTAATAATCACATGACGAGTTGTGCTGACCAACCCTGACGAGTGGTACTAGTGGTAACCACCTGACACATCGTGAACTGGTAACCACTTGACAAGGGAGGGGTAAGCACCTGTGGCATCAAAGGAAGCGAAGAGGTCGAAGATGGCTGATTCCACTTGATGCACCATCTGCGTGGTCACTGCAGAGTGGTGGGGTGGGGTGTGATGCGGCGGGGTGAGGTGCGGTGGGGTGTGGTGTGGTGCGGTGGGGTGTGGTGTGGTGTGGTGGGGTGCGGTGGGGTGTGGAGACAGAGGGATATGGAGTGACAAAACAGGGTTTTGTCACGTGACATGGGATGGCATGGCATGGCATAGTATGTTGTGGCATAGCATGGCATGGCATGGCAAGGCACCACATGGTATGGCGTGGTATGGCAACAAACGGAATCGCATGGTATGGCATGGCAATTAGAGAATGCTGCATCAGCATGAAAAAAACTACCAATAAGTTGGAATTACCAGAATGGCAATCTATATTGACTCTGATCTAAAACAATCTTCACTACACCCCACAAGCATAGATCTGTTCTAATCACCTGAGGCTCAGTTGGAATCACCTGAGGGTCGGTCACACTTGTTGAGCACGACAATGGGCTTTAAGCCTCTCTGCAGAGCCTTCCCCAACACAAACTTGGTCTGAGCCAAAGGTCCCTCCGCCACATCGACCAATAGCAGCGCCCCATCCACCATCCCCATCACTCTCTCCACCTGAGGGGAAGGGGTAGGTTGGGGGGAGTGGGGGGGAGGGAGAGGGGTTGGGGCAGCGAGAGAGGTGTGGATCTAAGAGGGTCTGAGCCAAGGGCCCCTCTGCCACGTCCACCAATAGCAGCGCCCCATCCACCATCCCCATCACCCGCTGCACCTGTGTGGGAGGGAGGGGAGGAAAGAGGGGATGAGAGGTGGGGGTTGTGTGGGCCCCTACACCACATCCACCAATAGCAGCGCCCCATCCACCATCCCCATCACCCGCTGCACCTGTGTGGGAGGGAGGGGAGGAAAGAGGGGATGAGAGGTGGGGGTTGTGTGGGCCCCTACACCACATCCACCAATAGCAGCGCCCCATCCACCATCCCCATCACCCGCTGCACCTGTGTGGGAGGGAGGGGAGGAAAGAGGGGATGAGAGGTGGGGGTTGTGTGGGCCCCTACACCACATCCACCAATAGCAGCGCCCCATCCACCATGCCCATCACCCGCTCCACCTGTAGCGGGAAGCGGGAGATGAAGGGGGTGGTGGTGGTGGTGGTGGTGGTGGTGGTGGTGGTGGTGGTGGGTGGGGTAAGGCGGAATGATTTTTTTTTTTTATCGACTGAGATTCACGTGTGTAGGGCGGAAGAGGGTGTCACGCAACAGGGTGGTGTGGTGTGGTGTGGTGTGGTGCCCCCACGACTTGATTGACCGAGGGCAGACCTGGCCTCCGACTCACCTCTCCCCACCAAATGGCCTGCCCTGGATTCTACCTGACCAAAGTGTTACCTTTCTCACAATTTCACCCACAGCAGATGTCACCTCCCTCAGATTTCACAACCCCACCCCCTCCCCCCCCCCCCCATATCTCACCTTCCTTGAATCTCAACTCCCTCGGATCTCACCTCCCTCGGATCTCACCTCCCCTCCAAAGTCAGCATGGCCAGGCGTGTCCACGAGGTTGAGCGTGGTACCTCTGAACGTGACTGACGTGTACTGTCACAAATACATGCACCACAATTACAAAATGCCAGAACCACACACGGCATATTTTGGCAGCATTAGTTGAAAACACGTGACGTGATCCCGATCAGGCACAACACCCACAGACAGAAAAGCGCGGACGAAGAAATGCTCCGAAGGGTTTGAATCTCAGAGGTTTAGGGTTTCAGGTTTGTGGTTCAAGGTTTCTGGGTTCGCTGAAGAGTTGGAAGTGTCAACATTGGGTCTCCCAACCGCTGCCTTGGCTTCGGCTAGACGTTACATCTCGCAGTGCTCTCTGCTGTCTCCTGCTGTCTAGATTGTGACGCGCACCTTGCTCGCGATCGTGATTCCTCGTTCTCGTTCTAGAGCGATCGAGTCCATCACTCGATCGCACGGCAACTCCGACGATCCCGACCCGCCGCCGCCGCCGCCGCCGCCGCTGGCGGAGGTGGTGGTGGCAGCAGCAGAGCTCGAAGCGCGGATGAGGCGATCCATAAGCGTCGTCTTGCCGTGATCGACGTGCGCGATGATCGCCACATTGCGAATCGCCTCGTTGCGAAACGCGTCGTGCGATCCGGCGACCGGAGTCGCCGAAGGATCATCTAGGCCAATAGCGTCAGCTGCAGCACCAGCGGCGCTGGTGCTGCTGAACCTGTAACTTCTAGGCGGTCTAGCGTCTCGGCAGATCGAGCCGCCATAGTGCGGCGCGGAGGAGACTAAGGAACAGGCGGACGCATTTCGAACCAGGGAACGGCTGAGATGATCAGGTCCGATCGCTAGACGGCTTGGATCCACTTCAACGGATCGGATCCATGAGCAGGAGCTTAAAGCTCTGCTGATGTGGCACAGGAAGGAATCGGCGCCACTGGCGGCAGAGGAGATGCTGGTGTGCTCTCCGCGCCTCGCAAGGAACCCGCGAGCCGCGGAAATGAACAGCCGGGCGCGAGTCATTCTGGACTACATGAGCTGCTCAGGCCGAATGGGAATAACTCCTAGAACGGGCTAGCTGCAGTGTAATTGGAGCGCAGGCATCCAGATCGCGTCGCAAGAGGGTAATTCAAGTGCCTGCCTATACGTAGTCGCGAAAGTTATTGGATGACTACCGAAGTGTTCTATATGAGTTGTGCTTTATGCTACGATTGAAGATCATGTTTCTTCGTTTCAGCCATCTTCGGCTAGGCCATGTTACGCTTTAACAAAATATTTTTTTCCTCTAAGCGCTTTCATTAGAAAGTAGTTCAATAGACTCCATTTTATTTAGGAGGCTCTGTGTATATTTTGGGAAAATATGTCAATGGTCACTTACATGGGGAACTGTAACGCGTACGGTAACGATTTCAATGCGTTTGGTAACTCGCTTAACGCGTTAGGTAACTTGCTTAACACGTTTGGTAACTCGTTTAACGCGTATGGTAACTATACACTAGCAGCCCATCACGCGAATGGCAACTACATGAAACTCCCGCCGAAATGATCCGGAAAAAGAGGAATTTATCGAGTTTGAAAGATTTTACACACATTTTTTTTTAACAAGTCCCGCCGCGACTTTAAGGTCCCCGTTTATTCTATTACCACGGACCGAAAAGTTCCAGAGCCGTTTTAAATATATATATAGCTCGTACAAAAACGGTTAAAATATTATTTTGGATAGCATGATTGCGAACTTGCAAAATTATATATATATATTTTTTAAAGCATTCCCCGAAAGGACCTCGGGGCTTTTACTTGAGAAAACTGAAACGAGAATGAATGAACTATGAAACAGTTGGGTACAAGTACTAACCCTAATTGGGTTGTACCCCTTATGGGATACCCCACTACAGCCTACACAAATGCATAAGCTATAATGTTCTGACACACCCCCATAGGCAAAGTGGGGGAGAACAAGGGGTCACAAGACCAGTCAAGCAAAGCAAAGCAAAGCAAGCTCAAGGTGGATCACGAAGTCACCACACATTCCGAGCACAAGTTCAAGGCCACAAGGCCAGTTCACATGCAGGAGTACATATATATAAAAGGCTAGACAACCAAGAGCAGGGGTATATATATATGTAACAGTACAAGCAAGGTCAAGAGGTGAGCAAGTGAGGCAAGGCAGGCACAAGACCCAGCTGAGTACAGAAGCGCTGATGATCACAAGGCGCAAGCGCCTTGGTGAAGATATCAGCAGCGTTGGCCTTAGAGGCCACGTACGCAAGACGCAGCTGACCACGCTGCTGTAGCTCACGAGCAAGGAAGTAGCGAAGAGCAATGTGCTTCGTTCTGTGCTCCAGTCTCTGCTCTCGACACAAGGCCAGCATGGTCTTGTTGTCTACGTACAACAATAGAGGAGAACGAGGCGGCTCTCCGAGGTCAGTCAGCAGGTAGGTGAGCCAGCGAAGCTCCTGTGCAGCCATGGCCCCGGCGTAGATCTCAGCCTCGCAAGTGGAGCCGAGAACAGAAGACGAGCGGGTAGCCCGCCACGAAACAGAGCTGGAACCAAGGCTGAAGGTGTAACCCTGTGACGACCGCTGCGTAGCCTGGTCGTCAGGCCAAGAAGCGTCTGCGTGCCCAGTGAGGACCACTGGACTCCGCCCTCCAAGCACAAGCCCCATGCCCGACGTACTGCACAAGTAGCGCAACACCCTCTTCGCTGCAGCCATGTGCTTTGGTCGGTGTCTCCTAGGAGCAACATAGCGTGCCAATATGCTAAGAGGGTATGCAAGGTCAGGTCGTGTGCAGGTCATCAGGTACATGAGGCAGCCAACAAGCTCTAGGTACGGGCCACTCGACTCTACGGACTCATCCGGAGGCAGAGCTGAGAGCGAGTGGCGAGTAGGCAGAGGAGTGGCCTGAGGCGAGGAGTACGTGAAGCCGAAGCGCTGAAGCACTTGCAGTACCATGTGTGACTGAGTCAGGGTAATGGTGCGGCGTGCTCTGTCCCGGGTGATCTGCAAGCCAAGGTAGCTGCGCAGTTCACCTAGGTCTGTGCACGTGTGTCTCTTCTGCAGCTCGGACTTCACGTGGGCGAGTCCAGCAGTGTCAGCTGTGGCAAAGACCAAGTCGTCGACGTACACGAGGATGTAGAACGGCGGCAAAGAAGTGTCGGTGCGCAGAACCAGCGACGGGTCAGCAGTAGAGGGAGCAAACCCAAGAGCCGCAAGCGTAGTCCTCAGTGTGTCGTGCCACTCACGCGGTGCCTGGCGGAGACCGTAGACAGGCCGCTAGAGGCTCCACTGGGTGCCAGGAGGAAAAGTCCCAATGAAGCCAAATGGGCGGCGCAGCCAGATCTTCTTGTGCAGGCTGCCCTGCAAGAAAGTTGTGCTGAAGTCAAGAGAGTGAAGCTCGTAGTCGCGCTGAGCGGCTATGTGCAGCAGCACCCGAAGAGTGGTCATCTTTGGGGTGGGAGAGAAGGTCTGAAAGTAGTCAACTCCCTGCCGCTGATTGAAGCCACGAGCCAAGTAAAGCGCCTTGAAGACAGGCGGAGAACCCGGCGGCCGCTTCACCCTAAAGATCCACATGCCACTGACGATGTTCGCCCTAGGTGGGGGAACCTCGTCAACGGAGGTGCCTGTGGACTTCCAGGAAGCCATCTTTGCGTCGATAGCTGCCTGCCACTGAGAGGAGTAGGGACCCTCTATCGCCTCCGCGTAAGAGCGCGGAGTCGGGATGTCAAGTGCATCCGGGTCTCCCTCAAGGGTAAGCAGTACGGACACGAGATGCGGTGAAGCAGCAGCCAGACACTGGAACTCCTCCTGCCTGTCCTCAAGGATGTCCGTGCCAAGGGCACACTCACCCCCGACGGACGGAGGAGAGACAGACTTAGACTCAGCGACAAGACTAGCAGCGTAGTCTAGACGACAACGAGCAGAAAAGTAGACGAGCTCAGCAACTAGGGCAGACGCAGAAGTGGACTCAAAGGAAGGGTCAGTGACGTTAGTAGCAAGGAGACGCGTGACAGTAGGACTGGCAGCACGAAGAGAGTCCGACTCCGCGTCGGCAAGAGCAGGAAGAGAGGACTCAGGAGGAGAAGGCAAAGGGGCATGCAGAGGAGCAGTGGACGGACGCAGAGACATCCGGTGCGTGCCAGGGACAGGAGGAGGACGCTGACGCGAACTACGACCACTAGCGCGAGCAGCACGGACAGGTGACGCAGGGCGAGACGCAAGCTCATGACGCTCAGCAAGACCTCCAGTAGGACCAATGTAGGGAGAAGGGGCAGGCAGTGGGGAGGCCGGCTGTAAGTGTAGCTGTGACGGGACACGCTGTGGACACTCTAAGGGAGGAGGAGGACCAGTAGAAGGCGGGAGACCAAGAACCTGCTAAAGGAGCGGAACGAAGTACGGTCGAGGCCATGCGGCGACTCTAGACACAGCAGGGACAACACCAGTACCCCCAGCGGCAGCACCAGCGTCAGCAGCACCTCCAGCTCCTGTACCTCCAGCAGCACCAGTAGCACCCCCAGCAGGACCGCCTCCAGGACCGACAGCAGTAGCCTCAGCACCAACACCCTTAGCAGCTCCAGCTATAGTCGTACCCGCAGGCCCAGCAGCTCCAGTACTCCCAGTACGAGCACCTCCGGGACCCGCGGCACTTGCTCCCTCAGCAGCCGAAGAACCTCCAGCGCCAGCAGCACGCCTCCAGCGCCGAGCAAACCACTCGCGCAGCTCCCGTGGAGAGAGTGGCTCCCGCCGAGACGAAGGACCTGGAGAACCTCCAGGCCCAGCACCACTAGACACCACACGAGCAGGCCCAGCTCCCTCAGGCTCCACACCCGCAGGCTAAGCACCTCTAGACGTAGCACCCCCAGGCTCAGCACCCCCACGCTCAGCACCCCCAGGCTCAACACCCCTGGGCTTAGCACCCCCAGGCTCAGCACCCCCAGGCCCAACACCCCTAGTAGTAGCACCCTCAAGCTCAGCACCCCCAGAGTCAGCACCCCCATCCGCACCAGAGTCACCAGTAACCTCGACAGGCTCGACTGCGTCTACCTGGGACACACCTGAAGGGGCAGGACCCTGAGGGGGGAGGGGGTCTACCGGGGGGGGACCTGGCACAAGGAAGAGCGGTGGCGGGGGGAGGGAGTGAGTGCGGTAGGGGAAGAGGCGGTAGTAGGGGACCGACTCGTCAAACGTGACGTCCTGGGAGGACAGAACACGGCGAGAGGTGGGGTGGTAGAACTGCCACCCGGGCGCGTCAGGGGGGAAGCCAAGGAAGACGCAAGGAGCAGCACGAGGGGACAGCTTGTCCGCAGACAAGTCGCGGACAAACGCCCGAGATCCCCAGACACGGAACGCACACGCATCGCCAACCTTCCCCGTCCACAGCAAAGTTGGGGAGGTCTCCGGCCTGGAGACCCTGGGGTGAAGGTTGATCTGATGCGCCGCGTACCGAACCGCAAACGGCCACAGAAAATGGGGGGCAGCCGCATGCATCATGGACGTATGGGCGACGTCCATGACCATGCCAATGCGGCGCTCAGCAATTCCATTTTGCTGTGGAGAGTCCGGAAGCGT